TCACTGGCACCTCCAGCTAAAAACCAGTATTTCCAGACAGCTGCTGACAGACGGAATGGCCAAGCACATATGTGCGTCAGGACAATTTTGGTGGTGCTAATTGCCTCCTGTTGCATCTTCTCCATCATTTCAGTCTCTTCACCACCGGCTCCTCTTCTCTGAAAAGCCTGAGTCTGCAGCTGGTGCTGAGTCAGGCTGTAGCCTAGTTTACAGTGCAGTCCTCAGGAGAGGTACACCCTTCGAAGCCCATTGACATCCATGGATTTAGAAAAAGTATAGCTCTGTTTAGGATGGCACTGCTGGGCTCTCCGCTGCGCGAGCGCAGGGGAATTAAGAGTAATAGAATTAAAGTGCATCACAGAAGCAAAACCACATAGGGGTTCTTGGCGAAGTCTCGACTTCCTAAAGCAATACGAATGAACTTGTGTGGAGAGCTTAGCCTGAAATATTCTCCACCGCTCCCTGTTTTCATTCAGTTTCTCTGTGCGGTAATTCCTTCTGTTTTCTTTTTTTAAAAATTTAAATTCAAAGCATGTGATTCCTCCTTGACGGACGGGAAGTACAAAGATCACTTTTCTCTCTAGGCTCCTTGGCTTGGTAGGCTCTACGGCGTCTGCCGCCACGGGATTGCGAGTGGTTGACCTTTCGTCTTTGCGGCCTTCTAATGGCAGGTTTGCAGAACTCTGAACTAATTTCCTTTGGTCAGCCTGTGCTGCCAAGATGTGAGCCAGAGGAAGAAAAAGGAAGAATATGTGGAAAATTGTACCACATGGGATACAAGAGTGTCTGCTTTCCCCCCCTGTGGTAGCAAATAGTCGGCCAGTCATGCTGCATGCATTGAAGGTTTTCTCCTCCGTTTTTTCTTTTTCTTGCGATTCCTTTCAGCTGCCCCCAAGCAGAGGATTATGTCAAGAAACTCAACTGTGCACAGGGTTGTGTAATGTGGATATGGCCTCCTGTGACAACCATGGACACAGAACAGTTTGAGTCCAGTCTGAGTCCAGTGGCACCTTTAAGGCCAGCAAAGTTTAATTCTGGGTATAAGCTTTTGTTTGCCTGCACACGGAAGCTTCTACCTGGAATTAAACTTTGTTGGTCTAAAAAGGTGCCACTGGACTCAGACTTTGTTCTTTTGCTTCATACCAAGATGGCTACCCGATGAACGATGAGCACGGAGGCTAGAAATCACGCTGTCGTGGGCTCCCTCTGCACACACAGTCCACTTCGTGTTGGCTTTCCATGACCATGATGGGGCAGAGGGAGAGATCCAGTTTGTTGGCCCTAGAAATACTGACACAGTGCGGGAAGGAGATGTTGTAACCAAGGAAGGGTACCGCGTTAGGTGGAGAGATCTGCCCTCCAAGGTACTTGAGCCAACTCAATCGAGTGTGTGCTTCTTTGTCTGTTCCTGAACCCAAGCTGTGCTATGTCTTTCCCTTTAGCTTCAGAGGGTCATTCACCTGTCCCACACTGTGATATGTGATTGAACAGAGACTTTTAGGAACTGTTTCCTAACATTTAGGGCTCCCTAAAGAAGAAACAAGAGTCATCAGTGTTCTTAATAAGAACATAAGGGAAGCCAATGTTGGATCAGGCCAATGGCCCATCCAGTCCAACACTCTTTCACACAGTGGCCAAAAATACCAGGTGCCCTCAGGAGGTCCAGCAGTGGGTCCATCTTCAATATTCTTTTGCCATAGTCTCTGGTTCTAGTTCTCTTAGAACAAACCCATTCATAATGATCAGATGAATCACACATTTACAGGATTTCTGTGGGAGAGGGTACCCTTTGTGTATTTTGTTTAAAGCATCTTAAGTTCACTGTAGGAAAGGGTTTATAGCTCTGTGGTAGAGGTCACACAGTCTACAAGCAGGAGGTCTTCGGTTCAACCCCTGGCATCTCTAGCTAAGAAGATTTTGGGAAGCAAGTCGGGTAAAGATCTTTGGCAGATGTCTCAGTAAGCTGTTACCAGTTAGGGTAGACTACAGGGCTAAATTAACTGAAGGTCTGACTATGTGTGAGATCGCTTCCGCCATGTTCTTGTGGCATCGTAAAGATATAGGAAGGAGACTCAAGTCATCTGCAATCTGAGCATCTTCTTGGTTCACGAGTTTTGCCTAGAAATGTGATTCGGGACATCAGTCCTTTTTCGGACGTGACCGTTGCATGTAACAGGAGCCTGCCATCTTGGTGTGGATCCTTGGGATGCACGCAGTCATGATGCTTGCGTCATCTGCATTTACCATGGACCATATGCCTCCGGTACATCCAAACTGTCCACTGGATTTTTCAGGGCTGGTATTCACATATGCGGAGGTACATGCAGGTTGCCTCAGTTCAAGCAACATGGCTGTGCTCCTTGGGATGATCATGGGTGCTCCTGATATGTGTGGTTGGTAGCCTCCCAGGATACATGTCTGAAGAGGGCAAATATACTTGTGAGATGGGTAAGAACATAAGAACATAAGAGAAGCCAATGTTGGATCAGGCCAAAGGCCCATCCAGTCCAACACTCTGTGTCACACAGTGGCCAGAAATACCAGTGCCATCAGGAGGTCCAGCAGTGGGGCCAGGACATTAGAAGCCCTCCCACTGTTGACCCCCCCCCCCAAGCACCAAGAATACAGAGCATCACTTGCCCCAGAGCCCCTAGCTATACCTTGTGGCTAATAGCCACTGATGGACCTCTGCTCCATATGCTTATCTAATTCCCTTTTGAAGCCGTCCATGCTTGTAGCACCCACCACTTCCTGTGGCAGTGAATTCCATGTGTTAATCACTCTTTGGGTGAAGAAGTCCTTCCTTTTATCCGTTCTAACCCGACCGCTCTGCAGTTTCATGGAGTGCCCACGAGTAGTAAAAGTGTGTGTATATCAGCCTCTGGAAGTAGCTTGGCCTTACCTCTCTTCAGAAGGCTAATTTGAACCAATATTTTATTTTGACTTCTGAATTAGTCAAGATGAGTCACCGTGTTGGTCTGTCTGTAGCAGCAGAAAAGAGCCAGAGTCCAGGAGCACCTGAAAGACCAACACAATCGGTGGCAGGGGAGGAGCTTGCGTGAGTCACTGCAGTCACTTCTTCAGATAGACCAAGATGGGCGGCCGTGTTAGTCTGTCTGCAGCAGGAGAAAAGATCAAGAGTCCAGGAGCACCTGAAAGACTAACACAATTGGTGGCAGGGGAGGAGCTTGCATGAGTCACGGCTCACTTCTTCAGATAGTTCCAAGTGGGCAGCCCTGTTAGTCTGTCTGTAGCAGGAGAAAAGAGCAAGAGTCCAGGTGCACTGTAGAGACTTAACAAACTTCTTTTGCATTATTGTGATTCTCAATTGCACTTAATACTTTGGATAATGCTGTTCTCGGTCAGCTTTTAATTATCACTGCCCCATTGCCAGCTTAGCAAAGATGCTTTCTCGCTTTCCGTGCGGCTGTGTCTTCAGGTGCCTTTGGGTAGGTTTTCATGCCGTCGCCAAGTGCTGCTGGCGCGCACCTCATAAGGCAGTGTTAGATGGTTGCCGTCGCGAGACTGAACGACAAAGTGAAATACCACAGATATATACAATGTTCCAAGCAAATGTGAAATATTAGGATTGCCCGGGGGGGGGGGGGCTTCCTTTCAGAGCTGGTGTGGGGTGTGTGTGAGTGCTTAGGAGCCAAACCCTCTGGAGTGTAGAAATGTCAGACGTTCTGTTAACATAGATCTCTTAACTGACTTCAGAACTCCTAAAAACCGTCTTTTAAAAAAATGGAACGGCGCATGTTTTTTTTGTGTTGGGAGATAAAATGAAAAACTGGGTCACTTCTGCGAAGGGAACGCCAAGTGTCACCGCCGTGCTGAAACAGGAGGCCACCTCGCACTTTAAACCTGCCCGTCTGGAACTCTTCTGGCACAGGCCCGTGGAGAGCAAATAGGCTGCTGCGAGCCAGCTACCGTATGCAGCCCGAGGGCTTTATAAATACTGTGCGAAAGGACATCGTATTAATAGAGTGCAGGCAGAACCGCTGGAGAGCTCCAGGTTTATTTATTTATTTATTGCCACCCTGTAATTGCTAGTTGTGTGTCTCGCTTTGGTTTGGAGTTTCTTCTAGCCTTGAGAGTTTAGGGTGAAAGTTTTTTTCCATCAGTGTCTTCTGACCAGACTCCCTCCTCGCTTCAGTGTACAGTTCCGCGTGCAGCAGGGTAGTCATCACACCTAGTAAAATGCACAGAAAGCATTTTAAAAGTGCTCAATTAAACAGCTAATGCGGTATATCCTCCATCGTTATGTTGTAAGCCTGCAGGCAGGGCCATAGATATATAAATATATATATTTGTACAGTGCCTAAAATCTACAAGGAAGTTTATAAAAATAAGTATATTTATTGCTGTCCCAAGCACCAAATTATCTGCTTTTCCCACAGTCAGGGTAATCCTGTATAAATAACTCTCCTGATGATTCAACTGTTTGAGTAGATGAAACGACACTTAACCGTTGCCTCTCTTGCATAAGAGCTGCATCAACCTTCGCCAGCACACATGAGGCCCGTGGCTGGCTACACTGTGCGTAGTGCATCCATGGTGGGACAGATATGGGCACACGTCCATCTGTGTGTGGAATTCCTGTCCAGAAGTGAATACTTGAGTGTGAGAGGCTCTTCCACACACACACACTAAATAACACACTTTCAGTCCACTTTGCAGCTGGATTTTGCTGTGTGAAATGGCAAAATCCACTCGCAAATGGTCACTGTAGTGGATTGAAACGGCATTGTTTAGCATGTGTGAAGCAGCCAGTCTTGAGTTCTGAAGAGAGCTGAAGTCTTCAGGCACTGCTGTCTGCTTGGTATCCCCACATTTCTGGTCCACACACCCCCCCCCCCCAGCAATCTTGCATCTTATGCATACATAAAGCCAGTTTCCTTTTCCGACCATTCACAGATGCCTGCTTTTGCAGTGGAAAGCACCAAGTGGCTAACTCCTTCTTTTTCCCTCCCTTTCCGACCCCCCCTCCCCTTCAAAAGATGGAGATAACATTATCGAAAAAGCTTCTCACTCTGGCATGATCAACCCCAGCCGGCAGTGGCAGACCCTGAAGCAGAATGCGGGCGTTGCTCACTTCGAGTACCAGATTCGAGTCACGTGCGATGAGCATTATTACGGTTTCGGCTGCAACAAGTTTTGCCGGCCACGGGACGACTTCTTCGGACACTACACCTGCGACCAGAACGGCAACAAAACTTGCCTGGAAGGCTGGATGGGTCTCGAATGCAACAAAGGTTGGTAACGTGTATTTCCGGTCTGATTGGCGGGAGCTCCATTTCCCCGGCTGCTTGTTGTGTGGCTCTCCGGGGCCACTTGAACTCTAGAGATTGAGCTCTCCTGTTCGTCATGATTATGCAAGCTTGTTGTGATGTATTATTGGCCATCTAGGAAGAGGGTTGTGCTTCACTCCTCCCTGATCCTTGCTCGTGGAGTGGAATTGGGAGGACTTTGTGTCTAGGAATAGATTTGTCTGTGTTCCCTCTACTAGCTCCAATGAACCAGATTTCTTTGACCAAAGGAGACAGAGATTGAGACATTCCCGGTTGTAGCCAGGAGGGTCCTAGGTTTGACAAGGGCCACGACAGTCTACAGTTCAGTGGCATTGCACGTGGAAGTCCCAAATTCAGTGCTCAGCATCTCTGGTTACACACTCTGGAGGAAAACCTCCGCAGAAGGCCTTTGGAACGTAACATAAGAACATAAGAGATGCCAATGTTGGATCAGGCCAGTGGCCCATCCAGTCCAACACTCTGTATCACACAGTGGCCAAAAACACCAGGTGCCCTCAGGAGGTCCAGCAGTGGGGCCAGGACATTAGAAGCCCTCCAGCTGTTGGCCCCCCCAAGCACCAAGAAGACAGAGCATCACTTGCCCCAGAGCCCCTATCTATACCTTGTGGCTAACAGCCACTAATGGACCTCTGCTCCATATGCCTATCTAATTCCCTCTTGAAGCCGTCCATGCTTGTAGCCGCCACCACCTCTTGTGGCAGTGAATTCCATGTGTGAATCACTCTTTGGGTGAAGAAGGACTTCCTTTTATCCGTTCTAACCCGACCGCTCAGCAGTTTCATGGAGTGCCCACGAGTTCTTGTATGGTGAGAAAGGAAGAAAAGCCTGATATCCTTTTCTGTTACGGAAATGACGCGTGGAAGACACTGGATTGTTTTGCTTCTGTCCCTATCACAACTCTGCATTGGAAATCAGTGCATCATAAATAATAATAAAGCTTGGAACAGTCAAGGTTGATCAGGTCTGTTTTTGCTTAAGTGCTAGAAGGGTTGTGATTGCAACGTATGTAAGCTGTGTTCTCATCGGCACAGTGCAGGTAGCTTCTTAGAAGGGAACGCAAACGTCTCCTCTTTCCTGGAGAAGAGGAAAAGAGCAAGAGTCTAGTTAAGCACCTTAAAGACCCAACAAAATTTGGGGCAGGGGGAGGAGCTCTCGTGAGTCACTGCAGTCACTTCTTCATATTCAGCTAGAGTGTGAGTCCATCCGTCCTTATATCTTGGAGACTGGAGCAATTTCAGACCCAGGATAAGAGGACAGATGGACTCACACTCTAGCTGTATCTGAAGAAGTGACTGCCGTGACTCATGAGAGCTCCTCCCCCTGCCCCAAATCTGGTTAGTCTTTCAGGTGCTCCTGGGCTCTTGCTCTTTTCTGCTGCTACAGACAGACAACACGGGTACCCTTCTTGGAGAAGAGGAAGGCTTTCTTATTTAAAAGCTGGAAGAGAATGCTGCAGGCCACGGAATGGCTTTTGTTTAAAATGAAAATTGGTTCAGTGACTTCTGCCTTGCCGATAGGAGGCCTTAGAGGGGGGTCGTGACATGAGCCCTCTTTTTTGGCATGCTGGGTTGGCTGTCATCGGGCATTAACCTACCTCAGTTTCTTTTCCAGTAGACTTGAGACCCGGGATCTGTTTGAACCTTGGATTTAGCAGGATTACGGTGCTAGCTAGAGATTAAAACGTTCCCACGAGGGCGAGGGTCTAGGAGAGGGTCTGTTTTTTGCTGATGGAAACCCCTTCTTTTAATTCCCTTCTCTTTTTTTCCCTTTTCTCCCCTCCTCTTTCTGCAGCCATCTGTCGTCAGGGTTGTAGCCCCAAACATGGGTCTTGCAAAGTTCCTGGAGAGTGCAGGTAAATCGCATGAGCCTCCTCTTTTGCAAAGCATGTTGAAACTGAACAGATTAAACAGCCCTGGTGAAGTCAAAGCTTAATGGAGTGGTAGCCATTCTTTGGAGATTGTCCTTGCTTTCAAGTGCCAGCTCTTATAAAGTAGGGGGGAGGGGGTGCGAAGGTCCAAAAAGCAGCAACTGTTTTGAAATGATTCGAGTTCTTTTGACTCCTCATTGCATTTTCCTCCAGTATCTTTGATTTCAGTAATGCTCCCCCCCCCCCACTTTCTCTTCCTTCAATGCCCCCCCCCCCATCAATAAGCAACCGTTGAGCCATTTTTTATCACGGGATTAATG